CGCTCCCAAGAACGCCCGTCCAGCGGGCCGAAAGCGCCTCCGAGAGGCCCCAACCTCCTGTATCACCCGAGGGGGGGACGGGAGAGACGACGGGGGGCGGGAGAGGCGATGGGGGACGGGAGAGTTGATGGGGGACGGGAGAGATGATGGGGGACTGGAGAGATGATGGGGGACGGGGGAGAGAGAACCCAATACGTAAAACTCAAACATCCAGAAACCAAAACCTCACCAAAACAACTTCGACGTACCCAAAACCACCAGAATCCAACACCTAAACCCAAAACCTCAAGAACCCCAAACCTCCTCAAACCAACCTCGACGACGACGAGGGCGCCGTCCTCTCACCCATAGGGTGGATAGCCTCAACTCCAACACAAGGAAGTCCTTGTTCTGGAGTCCTGGGCGAGTTCCTGCCATCGTCGTCGTCACCGTCGTCTGAGGCAGCCTCATCGCCATCATCATCATCGCCGTCATCATCGCCGTCATCATCATCATCATGATCGTCATCATCATCGCCATCATCGTCATCGCCTGTCATCATCACCATCGTCGTCGCCATCATCATCATCAACGTCGTCATCGTCATCATCAGCGACGTCATCATCATTGCCGTAGTCGTCGTCATCATCGTCAGGATCGTCGGCAATCGTCGTCAGCATCATCATCGTCAGTGTCGTCAGTGTCGTCAGTATGGCCAGTATCGTAGTCATCGTCGTCGTAGTAGTCGTCATCGTCATCGTCGTTATCGCCATCATGCGCGTCACCGCGTCCATCGTTACCCAAGCGATCGCCATCGCTGCCTCCCCCACTCCTCTTCCTCCTCCTCCTCCTCCTCCTCCTCCTCCTCCTCCTCCTCCTTCCACAAGCGATCGCCATCGCTACCTTCCCAACTCTTCCTCCTCCTTCCCCATGCAAGCGATCGCCATCGCTACCTCCCCCAATTCACTCCTTTTGCGCGCGCGCGGCGCGGGCGCGCGGCGCGGCGCGGAGAAGGGAGGGAGGGAGGGGGAGGGAGGGAGGGAAGGAGGTAACTTACAAGTTACTTATAAGTAACTTTTAAGTAATACTAAATGATGGTGCCTAAAATGTGTTAAGTAACTTACAAGTACACATATGTGACTTACCCCGCTCGGCGATGGATGGAACATAGTTAGAATTAGCGCAAGTAAGTTATTTCCGCAAGAGAAGCACTTAAAAACATATACCCTTAGTTAGGGAACATACTCTGCAGATGCTGTTACTTAACACAGAACAGAAGTAACTTACACCCAGCTATAGGTAGCTCGTAAGTACGCCTAAGATCTTGAAGCCTCTAAGCGGGGCCCCTCCCAGGCCCCGGTGACCCCGGAGAGCCGCTCGGGGTGACGAACCAGAGACCCCATCCGTCCATCCGTCCATCCATCCGTCCATCCAATCTGAGTTTTGCCACCCGCAGCCCCGCAGAGCTCCTGACCCCCCACCCTTTGGGGGTAGGCTTTCGTCCCCGGGTCCAGCTCTGATGCAGCCCCCGGGGCCCGACCACGAGCCCCCTAGGGGCCGGAAGCGAGGAGAAGCGCCGGGGCTCAACAACATCCGATCTCTGAGATCTGGAACCTCCGACGGCCATATGAGATCCGACGCCGAGAAAAAATCATGCAAGATCGCGAAAGCAGCCTGGCGAAAGATCCAACCAACTGCAGTTGCGAGTACCGTCATGGGACCACGGAGCGCGTAAGGGGTGCGCCGAAATGGGTTGCGCGGATGCATGCGAACATGTCCACAGGGGCTTCGGGTGGAGCTCCCTGCGGGGCAACGAGAAATATGTGGGGTGTGTCGAAATGGGCAAGGGGGGCCCATCTGGACTACGCCACTGAGGCCGTCGGTGGAGCTCCGTGTGGGGCCACGGGACACGTGAGAGATGTGCCGGACTGAGTGGATGGGACGCATGCGGGCTGCGCCACTGGGGCCTTCGGTGGAGCTTGCTATGGGGCGACGAAACGTGAGGGGTGTGCCGACATGAATGGGGCGGGCGCCTGTGGGCTCTGCCACTGGGGTCTTCGGTGGAGCTCCCCATGGGGCCCCGGTGTGTGCCGAAATGGGTGCGGCGGCCGTATGCTGGCTGCGCCGCTAGGACCTTCGCTGGAGCTCCTCATGGGGCCACGAAGCGCGTGACGGGTGTGCCGACATGAACGAAGCGGACGCATGCGGGCTGCGCCATTGGGGGCTCCAGCGGAGCTCCTTGTGGGGCCACGAAGCGTGTAAGGGGTGTCGACATGAGTGCGGCAGACGCGTGCGGACTGCGCCACTGGGACCTTCGGTGGATCTCACCATGGGGCCACGTAAAAAGTGAGGGGTGTGCCCAAATGGGTTGGGCGGACGCATTCGGGCTGCGCCACTGGGGCCTCCAGCGGAGCTCCTTGTGGGGGCACGAAGCATGTGAGGGGTGCGCCGACATGAGTGCGGCAGACGCGTGCGGACTGCGCCATTGTGACCTTCGGTGGAGCTCCCCATGGGGCCACAAACAAGTGAGGGGTATGCCGAAATGCCGTACAGTGGATGGGGCGGACGCATGCGGGCTGCGCCCCCGTGGCCTCGGGTGGAGCTCCCTATGGGGCCACGAGACGTGCGAGGGGTATGCCAAAAAGGGTGCGGGACCGCATGCGTCTGTTCCACCTGGACCTTCGGTGGAGCTCCCCATGGAGTCATGAAGCGCGTAAGGGGTGTGCAGAAATGAGTTCGGCTCTGCATGCAGGTTGCGCTATTGGGGCCTTCGGTGGAGCTCCTCATGGGGCCACGGAAGTGTGAGGGTTGTCCCGAAATCGGCAGCGCGGATGCATGTGGGCTGCGCCAGTGGGACCTTTAGTGGCGCTCACCATGGTGCCACGAGAAGTGTGAGGGGTGTACAGAAATGTGTGGATGGACGGATGCGGGCTGCGCCACCAGAGCCTTCGGTGGAGCTCCCTATGGGGCCACGAGACATGCGAGGGGTGTGTCGACATGGGTGGAAGGGACGCATGCGGGCTGCGCCAGTAGGACCTTCGGTGGAGCTCCCCATGGGGCCACGACACAAGTGAGGGGTGTGCCGAAATGGGTGTCTAGGACGCATGAGGTTTGCGCCACTGGGACCTTGGGTGGAGCTCCCTATGGGGCCAGGAAGCGTGTGAGGGGTGTGCCGAAATGGGTGGCTCGGACGCATGCGGGCTGCGCCACTGGGACCTTCGGTGCAGCTCCTCATGGGGCCACGAACCGTGTGAGTGGTGCGCCAACATGAGTGGCTGGGACGCGTGTGGGCTGCGCCACTGAGGTCTTGGGTGGAGCTTCCGATGGGGTCACGAAACGTGTGAGGGGTGTGCCAAATTTGGTGGCGATAATGGTGTCGATGGCAGCGATCACGATGGCGATGATGGCGATGATGGCGATGATGCTGATGCTGACGATGATGATGATGATGATGATGATGATGATGATGATGATGATGATGATGATGGTGATGGTGATGGTGATGGTGATGGTGATGGTTATGGTGATGGTGATGCTGATGGTGATGCTGATGATGAGGATTTGGATGATGATGATGATGATGATGCTGATGATGACGATGAGGATCAGGATGATGATGATGCTGATGCTGATGCTGATGGTGTCGATGATGATGATGATGATGCTGATGATGATACTAAATGATGATGATGGTGGTGGTGGTGGTGGCGGTGCTGCTGCTGCTGATGATGATGATGATGGTGCTGCTGCTGACGATGTTGGTGACGCTGATGATGCGGCTGCTGGTGACGGTCATGGTGATGGTGATGGCGATGATGATGGTGATAATGATGCTGATGATCATGATGGTGATGACACTGATGATGATGATGATTATGATGATGCTGATGCTGATGCTGCTGATGATGATGACGATGACAAGGATGATGTTGATTACGATGCTGCTGAGTATGATACTGAGGATGATGAGGATGATATCGAGGACAAGGGTGATGATGAGGATGACGCCGATGGTGATGATGACGATGATGACAATGCTGATGATAATGAGGATGCTGCTGCTGATGATGGTGGTGATGATGGTGATGGTGATGGTGATGACGATGATGACGACGACGACATTGTTGATGATGATGCTGCTGATGATGATGATGATGATGCTTATGATGCTTGGCGATTGTGATGGTGATGGTGATGGTGATGGTGATGCTGCCGCTGCTGGTGCTGCTCTTATGATGATGATGCTGATGATGATGATGATGATGATGATGATGATGATGATGATGATGATGGTGATGGTGATGGTGATGGTGATGATGATGATAATGACAATGGAGGAAGGAGGAGGGTGAGGAGGATGAAGAAAGCAGAGGAGACGCGGGGCGCTGTCTTTTCAGAACGAGGACCCGACACCGCAGGATGGTTGGGAACAAACTCCATCGGAGTTCTGGACCCCATCTTTCTGTTGTAGCTTTCGGGCCGGATCGATCGGTGAGGGCCCAGGGGCCCGAAACAGGACAACGTCGCGCGAGTTGGAAGCAAAAGCTGTGACACCAGGATCTCAGGGTCGGTCCAACCTCTTGAGGTTTTCGGGCCATAATCAGGAGCGAAAGAAGGACGTACACGTACATGAATTTACGCTGGTTTCGAGAGTACGCATTGCCCGAAAGTTCGTATCACGCGGCCGGTCTCGCAGATCGAGGGGCCGTGTTCATGTACATAGCTGGGCGCGTACGTCTTTTGTGGGCTCCCTACATAACTCGGGCCTCCGGCGGCCGTTCGTTTTTTACCCAGGCACCCCCAGAAGGCTCTTGACGAGGCGCAGCCGCTGCAACGCATCCCGAGGCCGGAAAGAAGCCGAGAAGCAACGCTAGCTTCCGAAAACCTCGAAACTCGCACGTCGAGAACGTGCGGGATCTTAGGATCTGGGCCCTCCGCGAGGGCCAGGCGGAGGTGGTTTGTGCGGCGCTCGGAGCATTTGTCCGCCCATCCGTTGCACGGTTTCGCCCGCTGCGGCCGAGGAGAGCTGCGACGTGGAGCTGCGCTTCGCGCCGACCCACCGGATCACGCCTTTCAGGCCCGCTCCTCCGCGGCTGGCGGGAGCGGTGCATTTAGATGGTCGTGTTGGATAGCTTCCTGGGGCCGACCGAATGGATCTGTTCGCCTCTACTTCGACTCGAGCTCGAGTCAAGTTCGAATCAGGTCCGACTCAGGTTCGATTTAGGCTCGACTCAAGTTCGACTCGAGTCGACGGGCGTTCAACGCAGCTTCGACGCACGAGTGGAGCGAGCGGCTTCAGGAGGGTCTCCAAGATGAGCATCTGAGCCTCTGTGCTCCGTGGCAGGGACGATGAACGGGGGCGGCACAGGCTCGAAGTTCGAGGCTTTCGCTCGTCTTCGTCGGCTCTCGGCGGCTTCCGGGCCTCGGGATGCGCTTCCTCGGCTGCGCCTCGCCGAGAGGCGTCCGGCGGGTGCCCGGGCGGACCGTCGCGAGCGGCCGCCCGGATGCCCGAGCCACGACCGAAGCCCGAGCCCTGCCAGGGTCGCCGACGGAGGAGAGGCAGGGGGGGGGGGGAGACGCATCGACAGATGCTGTCGGTTTTCTGTACTTAACTCGTACTGTAGGAGAGCTACAGAGCTGGTACGCACATCAATCGATTCAGCATCATCAGGCGCGTGCGTCTGTTGCATCTAGAGCTCTGAACTCAGTCGACCCCCGGATCGCCCGTTCATCGCCGATACGGGGCCCGATAGAGTCGGGCCGAGGTCTGAGATCGAGGTCGGCTCGGGGAGGGTGCCCTGCTACCCTCGTCAAAATTAACCTCAGCAGTTGCTGGCACGTCATTTCGATTTCGGCGCGCCCCTCAATGTCGACACGCCGCCCCTTCGCCCCTCCAATGTCGGGGCGAGGGCAAAGATAGTCTGACCGAAGTTGACTCGAAAGTTTGACGTCGACCGACATTGGAGGGGCGGCGCATGCAAGTACCCCGCACTCATCGATACTCGGCCCCAGATCTTCCGACGAGCAGTTCAACCTCGTCAGACATGTTTGAGGTTCATTTTGACGAGGGTTGTAGTGTTCTCTGTGTGTTGTGGGATCCTCCTGTGCATCCTGGGGGGGTACTCCTGAACGGTCTGTGTGTTTGGGCCCGCGGAGGATCTCCTGCTCTCGAAGGAGGTTCTCCTCTCCTGGGTCCAGCTCTATAGCCCACCCCGCCCGGGCGCGTGCGGGTTCGCTGGCGGGGGCCCACCGTCGATCTGCCGGCGTCGGCGACGTGTCGCCCATTCCAAGTCGACGCTTCCCCCCCCCCCCCCAAGCGGGTCTCCCCCCCTAGCGTTGCGCCTCAGCGCCGTGGTCTTGGCATCGCTCGGACGTGTGCATTCTTCCTTCGGCGAGGACCATCGAGGAGCATCCTTGACCATTTGGCGAAAAAAACACGCACGAAACCGAACGAAACACAGGGAATGGACGTCCGAGCGATGGCGAGTGGTAGGCCCGACGCACGGCAGGTTCCAGACCGCCAGCGGCCGGAGCCGGGCCAGCCTTTGAGCGTTGTCCGCTGCCGGGGCAGCGGAGACAGCTTGAGATTCAGCCCTGAAATCCTGGCGACTCAATTTTTTCGAGTTGGGCGTTTTCGCTTGCTTTCGGGGCCCGGGACCCTCACGGATCGATCCGGCTCGACAAAATGGCGAAGAAAGATGGGAGTTGGGGATCGCGTCGTGTTGTTCTGCGATGTTGCATTGGTTTTGCAGCGTCGGATCCTCAGGGAGTGCTCTACGCGGCGTCAGACGGGACATCTCTGCGGCAGAAGGCTCGAAACAGTTTTACACCGCACACGATGCGGGTCCAGGGCCACGATAGGGCGACACGGTGTGAGGCCACGATGGCAGATTTCGAGGGCCCCAGCTCCCTCACCTGGCGCTGGAAGAATGATGTAGTACTCTCGTAGACAACTTGTTCAGGGAACAAGCGTCCACGATTTACCTTGCATAGTTATTCGGAGGACCTTTCCTGTGCTTTCAACGGCAGTCGTTTCTTGTACTCCGACGTGGGCTGATCGCGGATTCGACGTGCACCTGACGTGGACTGGACTCGAACTCGGCATGGATTCGGCGCACTCGGCATGGACCCGACATGGATGCGGCACGGATGGCTGGCGTGATGGCACAGACGAGCCCCCCCCCCCCCAAAGATGCAACGCCGTGTCAACACAGCGTGAGCCGGCCGCACGTCGGGCCCGCGTCGTGTCGATGCGGCGGCCCCGGCGCAGGCGTTCGGGGGGCGAACGCCACGGGTGGCCATGGCATCGGTCGGTATCCAGCCATCTGCAGGTAGCGTCGGGCGGGTGGTTGTGTGGGGGGGGAGCCTAGGTTTGTGGAGGACGATCAGTGGAGAGGAAGCATGTTTCCGGATAATTCGCAGAGGTCTATAACATGTGTTTCAATTGTTCTACATAGGCAACAAACATGCCCGAGACATTTTTAGAACGTGTTTCACACACTTCAAACACATCTTTAATTCAATGATCGAATTGTTAGAGTGTCCACTGCCATGGCATCCACAAACCTAGAGGGGGGGGTGGAGAAAAGGGCCCCCCTCAAGGGGCCCTTGAGTGCCCCTCTTCGGAGCCAGCAGGGGCCCAGGAGTGGTAAACAAGGGCTCCTGTAGGGCCTTGTTCAGGAGGAAAAGAAACACACAGACACAATTAATCCTCGACTCCCCAGAAAATATGGGAAAATATGGGAAGTGGTGGGGAAGCCAAAAACCTATAAAATATCGGAACATATGGGGAATATTATTATTCGTGTGTATTTATTTGTGTGTCCCAGGGCCCCCTTCAACTTAGGCCACCCCCCCAGTACCGCCCGCCCGATCTCGGAGCGCTGCGATCGCTCCAGGCTGTGTCAGAAGCAAACGCAAAGGTTTCGGGGGAACGTAAGAACCGAGTAAGCCGGAACTCGGGTTTGCCGACATGTTTTGACGAGCGCGTCCTGGATCTTGACGGTGCCGTTTTCGCGGGATGTGTGCAGCGGGAGCTCGCGTCGAATTTCAGATTGGGCCTCGTCATTTTCATTGTGGCCCCGTCAGGCCAGCCCGAGTCCCCCGTGCCCGAGTCTTACGTCTCTCCGAAGGTTGCCACGACACGGGCCTGCCGCAGGGCCCCTCCTCCCGTGCAGCTCGCACCGCGAGCACTCCTTCCTCCTGGCTCCAACCTTCCTCTCGGCGGCGAGGCCAAGGGGGGGGGGGGGGGGGCAGTCAGAGGGGGGGCGGGCCTCCTGAAAAGGCTCGGAAGGCCTCTGGCCTCCTGAGCCATGTGCCAGGCGCTCTCCTTCCGAAGGCCGAGACGGCCTCCCAGAAGGCCAGCCAGGGGGCCTCCGAGAAGGCCCCGCCGCCTTCCGAGAGAAGGCCTGCCCCCTCTCATCTTCCCCCCCCCCCCCGGGCTCCGCCGCCCATGCCTGGCCAGGGGTGCGGGTTCGCCGCCCTCCCCGCCCCGAGCGATTACGCATAACGATTATACAAAACCTCATCAAAACGAGGAGGCAGTAGACAAAACGATTATACATAACCTCATCAAGCAATTAAGAACCCCCCCGCCCCCCCCCCTCGCCGGCGAAAGTATAACGCACCCGGCACCCCAGAAGCGTTACCTTGGCACCTCGCACCTTTATGTGAACGCAGGCGAGTCTACTCGCCGAACTAAGCAAACCTTGCTCTTAGCATTCGCATTAGTCTCATTCGTATTATTATTCGCATTGTCGTTCTTATTATTCTTATTTCT